CCCTCATCACACCACAGCTGTTTCCTCCAGCGAAAATGAAGCACATATGAACGCATACTTTATAAAACGATCATGTTGCCATTTTCATTTGAAAATGTAACTTTCAATATAATACATATTCCAGTGCATGTGGCAAAGAGGTTTGCATACTTGAGCTAATGAAAGAGATTTGTACTAGAAATGCAAACAATAAAATTTTGTGTTTCTACATTAAACAGGTTGTGTGTGTGAGATCATGAAGACTTGAATTTGGCTTATTCAGTACTCAAATGTTACACCTATCTATGCAATACAGTGGAATACTGCAATAAGCTTAGTATACGACCCCTATTAAATACGTTCCCGCGGCTATGGTTAAATGTTATTCAAAGCTTTCCATTTCTGTTCAAGTTCAAGTTGTTCTAATTCATTGTGTAGTTAGACCAAAGACTATGGTAAGACTCATTCATGATTCATTCACCTATCTAAAAGTCAATAATTTTTTACAGTGCAGTGTAGCCTAGTCTAATTAAATTCAAATGTATTTTAATGCAAATTAATTTTGTTTAGATTTGTTAAACTTTTGCTTGCAATTAATGCAATTAAATGTGTGTTTTAAGCGACTTAGAACAACATAATGTTATTGAAAGTATCCTGTACACAGATGTAAAGTACAGTACTATTACATACAAATACACTACTCTCATAAATGACACTGTATGTCAAATATTATGTAGAAAATTAAACTTCACAGAGTTCATAGCACAGGAGCTGGTGATAAAAATAAAGTATACTTTAGAAGAAAGTGTATTGAAGTTTAGAAGAAAAATACATTTCAAGTGCATTAATGCACATAGTATATATTATAGACTAAATACTTTTAAAATACATTAACAAATGTAATTTTTTGGAGAACACACTTAAGTTTAAATTAAATCAATTATTTTACATGTACTTTAGCATATTGATATATATATATATATATATATATATATATATATCAAAATAAATGTTCTTATTTAAAACACAATAAAATCATAATTATGTCAAATGTATAAGTAATACTAAATTAGATATTATTATAAAGTGCATTTTTAAAAAGCGCACTTAAATGTGTTAAGACATATTGTCATTAAAGTGTATTCTTTTTAAGTACACGTAGGTGGCCTTTAATTTAAATTGTTATCTGCAAGTGCACTTTTTACAAAGTATACTTTTAAGATTTGAAGTACATAAAAAGTACACTTTTAATACAGTTAAGCACACTTCTTTTTCACAAGGGACATTAAGGGACAAATCAAAAATAAATAGCATATTAAAGTTAAAAGTTGCACACTTTTGTGTGTGTGTATGCTGTTCAGGTCTGGTATAAAGAATGTTTTTGCTCAGGTGGCCTAAATTTCTGCCCAATAGCGAAAAGTTTTGCTCAGCAAGAAAACAAAAATTAGGGAAGAATGCAAGGAAAGAAAATGAGGACTGAGAAATCAAAGAAAAGCTTATTTGTAAATTACGATATTCTTGATCACTCAAGCATCACTTCAAAGTGTCATGTTGTTAAAGCTTGGTTACAAAAAACATTCATAATAAATTTTAGTAAAGCCAGATGTTGAAATACTGTATATATCATCATGATGCCTTTTTACTTTTAATTCTCATTGTATATTGCTCTGAATTTAATTAAAAATGAATTCTGAAAGTAACATCAAATTCCGTCTTTGCTTGTAAAAAGTAGCAGCATTTTCATTTGCAACAGCAGAGTGCTCTGCAGTGTAAGGAAGCTGTGCTCCAATTGGCTGCTGATGAACTGTGATGTCATCACTGGCTGCTACAAGAGTCCAACTGATAGCACATTTAGTCAATGTGTTTAGCTGAGAGTGCTGTGAGCATGTAAAAGAAACACTGTTCAGACAAAATGACCGGATGATTAAGAGGTGAAACAATGTGAGAACACTGTGTGAGACCAGAACACTTTCTGAGAGAAACACAATTCAAAAGGATTTTTATTTTATTTTTGGATATCTTATGGGAGTCCATGAAGAGTGGAATTAAGTTGGAGGACTCTAAAACACTTTCCTGATTTTAGTAAGTATATTGACTATACAATTTGTTCCTTTTTATGTTTTTATTTTCTATTTGTTAGTTTGTTTGTTTTATCATTCTCATGATAATAAATCACATCCATGATAATAATCATGATAATTCTCATATTTTGCTTTCTGATTGACATTGTATGTACTAAAAAAAAAAGAGCTTTTTTTTTTAGGCTAATATTGCTCTCACCAAATGTTATGATTATTTTCCTTTCTCAGGACAAAGCTCATGGAGGGACAGCATACACTGAGCATGGAGAACACCTCCCTGCACATGAACCTTTCAGCAAGGCTAAATAATTCCTCTCCGGTGTCTTTGCCTGGCTTGGAGTACAGCAATGGAGAGGTGGTCTTAATTAGCATCTTAATGGTGATTCTGATTGTAGGCATTGTCTTCGGCAATGTGCTGGTCATCAGTGCTATTGTAAAATTCCAGCGTTTGCAGACGGTCACCAACTACTTCATCAGCTCCTTGGCCTGTGCAGATCTGGTCATGGGCCTCATGGTAGTGCCATTTGGTGCATGCTACATTCTCCTCAACAAGTGGCACTTCGGAAAATTCTTCTGTGAGTTTTGGACGGCTACGGATGTATTGTGTGTGACTGCTAGCATCGAGACGTTGTGCGTGATTGCCCTGGACCGGTACGTGGCAATTATGTGGCCTTTGCGCTATCAGTCAATGCTTACGAAGCGGAAGGCCTGTGGGGTGCTCCTAGGGGTGTGGGCAGTGGCCGCCCTCATCTCTTTCCTGCCCATCCACATGGAGTGGTGGGTGTCAGATGAACCTGAGGCACTGAGCTGCTTGGAGAACCTGACCTGCTGTGACTTCAACACTAACGCCGCCTATGCCGTGACCTCCTCCATTATCTCCTTCTACATCCCGTTGGTCATCATGGCGTTTGTGTACAGCCGGGTCTTCCAGGAAGCCCGTAGACAGCTTCAGAAAATCGACCGCATAGAAGGGCACATACGCACACAGAGCTTCAGCACCCAGGAGGGAAATGAGGTAAAGGACCGGAAGACCAAGTTCTGCATGAAGGACCACAAAGCTCTGAAGACCTTAGGAATCATCATGGGAACCTTCACCCTCTGCTGGCTCCCTTTTTTTGTGCTTAACGTGGTGGCAGCCATCTGGAAGATGGACAACATCATGCTGCCATTCAGGATCTTGAACTGGATCGGCTACACCAACTCCGCCTTCAACCCCTTGATCTACTGCAGGAGTCCTGAGTTTAGATGCGCCTTTCAGGAGATCCTGTGTTGAACTTCTCAACTACCTTCCACAAAGAATAACAAGGGATATAACTACAGCAGCAACATCTGGACACAAGTCAACATAAAGACTACCAGACAACGAGAGCCCTCACCAGCTTGCAAAACTGAAATGGGTGCTGACTGTTTAACTGCAAGTCAAGTCAAGTCAAGTCACCTTTATTTATATAGCGCTTTTAACAATACAGATTGTGTCAAAGCAACTGTACAACATTAATTAGGAAAATAGTGTGTCAATAATGCAAAGTGACAATAGTAAACACTAATTTTTCAGTTAAAGGCAGTTCATCATTGAATTCAGTGATGTCATCATCCAGCTCAGTTCAGTTTAAATAGTATCTTTGCAATAATTTGCAATCAAGTCAACGATATCACTGGAAATGAAGTGTCACTAACTAAGCAAGCCACAGGCGACAGCGGCAAGGAACCAAAACTCCATCGGTAATGCAGCCTAAAAATCCTTTACCGGATTTGAATATTAGAAATGTGTTAGTGTTTTATGTGTAAGCCAGGTTAAAGAGATGGGTCTTTAATCTAGATTTAAACTGACAGAGTGTGTCTGCCTCCCGAACAATGTAAGGTAGGTTATTCCAGAGTTTGGGCGCTAAATAGGAAAAACTGCAGGTACCAAAAACATTGTAATAAAGCAGTGACATCCAACTTTTGAACATTTGAGACCTTAACGTTCATAGTCCCTGTACGTAATTTTAAAGCACTAGAGATCTTTCTGTTTGAGGTCGCTTTTTTGTCTGTGACAAAACATGGTTTTCAGATTTTGTAGTCCTTGAACCAAGAAGATCTGCCTATATTTACACAATATTTAAAATATTCTGTTGACATATGCTTACAGAAGCAGAGTCAGAGTCAGAACTAATGAAACTGAAGTAACTTCTGTTTCTGGACAAAGAAGAAAATGTGTGCAAGAAATCTAGGACAGAGTTTAAAAGGTTAGACAGTCTACCTCTGAATTACTACCTCGGGACAGTTTTCATGTCTCAGTCTTCATGTTTCAGTTTTTAAGCTAAAACCTGCGTGGATAGTTAATTCATAATTTATCAAAAAATGCTTCAACTTAAAAACAGAGAGTCTGGATTTGTAAAATATAAAAAATTCATAAAATGTGCATTACATATCTTAAAGAGAGTCAGAGGGTCGTCTCGTACTAGACAGACTTGTTACATTCCATTAAGAGCTTTGGCTCGTTGAAAGCCAGGGTCTTCAATATCTCTGAGCACTCCTCCAGAGAGAGAAAATATAACCTTCTGATGCGGGACAACAGGTGCACATTGCTGTCTGTGCTATAACCAGCTGTTCTTGTTGAAACGAAAAAAGCAAGAGAGACATGTAGTTCTCTCCAAACCCTGCACTTCAACCTTCCCCTGTTAACATTTTCACTGGAAAATGTTTTAAGCTTACAGCTGAAGTTTTATCTATAAATGTTAATATTTATATAAGGTGTGTCACAGGCTGAGTGGCACAATAATGATGGTGTATTTAACATGTCACTATTTGCAAGAAAGGTGCCAAGTTATTCTCGTTGTTTAACACTAATTAAATGCTGAGTTTGTAAATTTTAACAAAATAATAACAAAATACCCATATCTTAATTTCAGGTATATAGCTTCTGGCATCAAATTCATGGGGGTAGGTTTCCATTACTGTTGTGTTGGTACTGTTTAAAGAAATATTGAACAGTCCATTGGGCAAACACTGTAAATTCACCTGACACTGAACTGACAGTTGCTTATTTTTTTACTGTTTTGTTTTATATAATAACCAGGGCAATGTATTTGATTATGACACATACATGACTGGAAAATCTGACATTACAAAAAACCTGACAAATGTATGCTTTACATGCCCACGGCTGATGTCACTGACATGTTCACTCACATACACAGCCCCCTTCCTGTGTATGTGTGTACATATTTACCAGTGTTGGGCAAGTTACTTCCAAAATGTAATACATTATATATTACTAGTTACTGTCTTTTGAAAGTAATTAGTTACATTACAATATTACTGTCTCTGAATTGTAATGCGTTACACTACTTTTGAGTTACTTTTGAGTTACTTTCACCAAAATAAAGATAGACAAACTATTTTACCCGTGGAATTTTTTCTCTGGTGCTGTTTTGCTGTGTTGGTAAATTCACCACTTAATTTTGAGTTAAAATATGTTGTTGTAACTTGCGTTACTGAGATTGTAACGAGTAATAATATTACCCAAATTTGATTAGTAATGCGTTATATTACTGCGTTACAGCAAAAAGTAATATACTACTGTAATATTATTACTTTTGTAATGCGTTACTCCCAACACTGATATTTACTAATACAGCATATGTCATGGGCATTGGAGAAAGACATATTACACAGCTTATGTGGCTGTACATACCTTAGTCAGGGTAGCGCCATATTTCATTTTGACAGGAATAAAAATGAGGCTTGGAGAATTGTAAAATAATTGTTGTGTTACTTAGCAACTAATGCTATTTTTTCAGCTTAGAAAAGATTTTTCAAAATAAATTTTGGTTACAATTTGTTTTATGTTGTCCTTCTTACAGTGTAATTATACAATTAGGAACTGAGTAATATTACTGTACTAAATTACTATAGGGTTGCAGTTAGAATCAGGATTTGGTTTAGGGTTAGTTGCATGTAATTATGCATAATTTACTGTTAATTTTATAGTAAATACAGTATACATAGTAAAGAATAACCAAAACATTTAGTAGACAAAAACTTGATTGAAAGTTGTGAGTTTTGAATATTATGATCTATACGATCTAGAACCTTTTCTATAGTACAGGCTATTGTGCTATTGTAAAGATTTACAGCCTCATTTTCATCTACATAAAATTCGATATGGTGTCTAACACTATTAGATAGATAAATAAAACATTTTTGATGTTAATATACATAGATGTTTGAAATACTCAGAAAATATGTGTGTGTGTGTGTGTGTGTGTGTGTGCCTGGTATTCCCTACATTATGAGAACCAAATGTCCCCACAAGGATAGTAATAACAGTAAATTTTGACCTTGGGTGGTTTTTTTATTTTTTTGGTCCCTATGAGGAAACAATATTAGAAAGAGCAGTTAAAATAGCAGTTTGTGTGTAAAGGGTAGGTTTATGGTAAGGAGGTAGAAAATACACTGTGTAGAAAATACTATGGAATGTCCTCCTAAAACATGGAACCTGTGTGTGTGTGTGTGTGTGTGTGTGTGTGTGTGTGTGTCAATGTGTGTAAACTAAAAAAAATATGAAAATATTAATTATATAAAATAAAAAAAATATTATACTTTACAGTAATTTATAATTAATAAAATATAATACAATTATCTCTCTCTCTCTCTCTCTCTAGATATATATTAAACTTGAATCACTTTCATTACATAAAGCAATTAGGGTTCTTTGTTGTGGGTACTGTAGTAATCAACACGTCATGCCTTATGTGTAAGTAACTGAAGTATTTAACGCAGTGATGGACAAAGCAGTAAGTGGGTATAGAATAATATATTACTGAGTTTTGACTGCACATTTCTGAAATGGTATTTACTTGTATAAATTTATATGTTTCATTCCATTAAAAAGATTATATTGTTTGCTAAGTTGTTTTATCTATGCTACTTTTACCACAAAAATTATTTTATTAAGTTGGCTTGAGAAAGCAAACTTACTGATCTACTATTTAAACTTAATATTATTAGTGGTGCTTGCCAAAGACAAAGCATCACTATTATTATCTCACAAACTTATTATTCTTCTTATAGATTCCGTATAAATTTTGGCGTGTAACTCGTCCCGCACCTTTTGTAACAGACCCATTTTTAGAGGCGTCAAATCATGCGGCCTATTGAGGAGAGGTGTGCTAGGATTTTTATAAGCGACTGGTCATACGATTTTCGTACAGCGGGCGAAAAATCGGCCGAAAAATCCCATAGACTTAACATTGAGACCAACTTTGACGGGTCGTAGCTCAGAGCAAGAATTTCGCAGAAACATGCGAGTAACCACATTTGATGAGGCTGTCAAGCTGTGCGAGAACATACCCCGCAGTGGGGTATACGTTGTACCCCTGGGGCGCTAGAACGTCCCAAAATTGCCCCATAGACATACTATGGTGAGGGACGGCACATGAAACAGCATCTAAACACACATGATTTTCCTACTATGGTAATTTACATAGGAATTTTGCATTGAACATAACCGCATCACAATGACATAGATACATGGGGGTGGACTCATTTTACTCAGCCAACCAATCAGACTCTCAGGATCATTATGAAGCAGTCAATCCATGCCCTAGCAACCATTTAGAGCACCATAGCAACTGATTACATAGACTGCCATTATAAAAGGCCCAGATGAATATCTTTAGATCACAGTGTCGTAGAGACATGGGGGTGGGTGTTTTTGACTCGGGACAGCAAATAGCCAATCATGAACAGCATTGACACTTCCTAGCCACACCTAGCAACCATTATTGACCACCCTAGCAACCCAAACCCAAAAAGGTGTATCTTCAAATCTGAATGTCATAGAGACATGGGGGTTTGTTTATATCATTCATACTGACAAGCTGTCTTTGGAGTATAATCACTGGCAGCTGCCACTCCCTAGCAACCAAACAGTGTACCCTAGCAACCGTCTAGCAAGACCTATATCTTTGCATCAGAATATCGTACAGATATGGGAGTTGGTTCTTTTGACTCATGCTAGCAAACCGGATTTCAAACATGTTAGTCATGCTAGCTAACTGTAAAATCTCTATCACTCTCTGTTGTTTAAAGTGATAAAATATAACTTAATTCCCACCATATTTCTGATATTATCTTTCAACCTAATCTGATTAATTTGATCGTTCGCTTTTATTCTAAAACCGCGAGTGCAGCGCATCTGCAGCGCGTTAGCATTCGTTAGCTTGTCATTAGCATTTCCATTCGTGCCTATTGCTTTTTTCTTTTTTTCTCTCACTCTGTTTTTTTCATCAAACAACTGTGGTAAGTAAGAATCATTCATCAATCACGGTGAGTAATGGCTTTTTCTCCTGCTATTGTTGTTTGCACCGCTTGCCACATGTATAGTTTATCTCTCTCTGTCGGCGACGAGGGATTCTCATGTGATAAATGCAGGGAAATAGTTAGGCTGACAGAGAAGATTTCAGAATTAGAGACACGCATCCAAACTTTTTTTGCATTATTGACACATTATTTTCCTAATTAATGCTGTTCAGTTGCTTTGACACAATCTGTATTGTTAAAAGCGCTATATAAATAAAGGTGACTTGACTTGACTTGACTAGCAGTGAATAGCTACATGCTAATAGTGATTAGCTAAAGGCTAACTCAGTCTAAGACCATGCTTACAGAACTGGCTTTTCTGACAAGATGCGCGTTAAATATCGCATGCGATTTATCGTGCTGCCCTACTAAGAACTCTATTAAACTCCATAGTAACGATCTGTGACAACTAGCAACTGCCTAGCAACACACTAGCAACCACCCCAGATACCCTAGCAACCACCACAAGTAACCTAGCAACCGCATAGCAACATCCTAGCAACCACCCCAATTACCCTAACAACCGCATAGCAACACCCTAGCAACCACTTCAAGTACCCTAGCAACCGCATAGCAACACCCTAGCAACCACATAGCAACACCCTAGTAACCACCCCGATTACCCTAGCAATGGCCATAGCAACCATCCTGTGTACCCTAGCAACCGCCCTAGCAACCGCATTGCAACACCCTAGCAACCT